AGATGGGAGACAAGAAACTTTGAATAATTTCTTTCATCCCATATCTGTAGCAAACTTTTGAACTCACAGCCCAGGCAAATAATCGACTCATGAGGATTTTCTGGTCTGGGGTACAAGTCCTTTCTCCTGTTGAGTTGGTTTTTAGGATTGACCTATCAAATATGATTCCCTCAGCCTATCACCTGAGCTCTGGGATCTCCGATTTCAGTATGTGTTAAAAAGGACCAAGTGGCAATCACTTCAGCCCAGGGTTCCCCTCTCTGGTGAGGACCTTCACTACGTGGGCAGGGCTCAGTGTTGATAAGAAATTCCACTGCAGGCTTTCTTAATGCAACTTGTATCAGACTTAGCAGAGGCTTGTGAATAGCTTTTGATCTCAAAGAATTAGTGACAATTGATGAAAGAACATTGTCTCAAGAGAGTACTTAACCAGCTCTAGCAGTGTTGTGTTCAATCGCTTGCCCTCTTTTCCCAGCTATAATAAAAACCTCTCTGCTTGCTGTGAACCTCACCTATCAGGTAGTAGGCTATCATGGCTGACACAATGTATTAATCAGGTTCAGCTGCCAATATTAAATTGTTTAGCTGTTCATATCAAGAGTAAGACAGGGATAAATATTCCATCCTTGGTAATCTGTAATGATATTAGAATCTATTTATTTTTTTAATATGCATTCAAATTAGTTTTTTCCTCAGCCAGCCCAATGGTATGAGAATGATTCTCAGAGGAAAAGACTGAGTTGTACTGTTGAAAATGTGTGGTGAGTCACAGTCATAAAGCTTTGAAAATAAATGTGGAGCCTAGCTACGCAGCTTTGCAGACTTTACGCCAGTTGAAGGAACTTGCCCCAAGTGTTCAGACAATACGTGTGCTTTGCATGTTAATTGAAGCTGACTGGTATCCAGACTGCGGTGGTGTTAATCTTCTCTGCAGTGAGATGTAATGCTATTTTTAAAAAAAATTGACAGCACAAAAACAAGCCCTCTAGCTAAAGGAGATAAATATTTGTACACAGATACTGTTTTATTTATACCAGAGAGGAGAATGCTTGGAGCGGTTACTCAGAAATTTTACATTTCAAGAACACGCTGAAAACGGCTTCACTTTTTCCTGTTGTTCAGTTTGGATCTAGAGTGGCTTTGGGTCTTTGAGCTGTGTAACTTTCATGGACTGAGTTCAGTTGCCCGGTTTCTAGTCACTTTCCATCTCCCTGAATCTTACAATAGCTAGTACATTAGGGAAAAATTAAAAAGAGACGGAGCGGGGCTGTGGAACAGTGTATGCTTTGGATAGCCTCTCGTCTTCACTGAGGACCCAACCTGCCTGCTTTACACAAATCTATTGCTCTGCTGAATTCAGTGGGACTGTTTGGAAGTACTGTCAGGGGGTTTTATGGTGAGTCCATGCAGGTATTTCCCTTGGAAGGGCGGTGCGGGAGGCTGTATTCTGGAATTGGCCCTTTTCCAAGATTTTACACCTACTTGAGCCCCCAGTGGGGTCAGAGGAAGTTAAAATGCATAGCATTGCTCAGGACTAGGCTTTTCCTTTGGGCAGTTAAGGGATTATTCTGAGGACTAAAATGTGAAATAACTGTGAGTAGAACAAAGGCTCTCAGACTTTTCCCGTAATATTTGGCACTTCTTCACAGAGAATTTGCAGACTGAAGGAATAGCTTCCCTTGGAAATCTCATTAAGAAAGGCATTAGCTGTATCTTAATATAATTAAACAACTAGATTTAGAGCTAATACTGTGTGACCAACCAGTTCTTTGTAACTGCTGTGCTGATGACTGTAATCTGAGAAACTTTTGGCTGACCTGCAGCCTGGCTCAGTTGTGGCATGTGCCATGTTCTTAAGACAGCTTACTATTAGAAATGGTTAATACCTCACTTCTGCCCTGGGATTTCTTTATGCACAGGAATTGGCTGCTTCTACAACTAGGTCCATGGGCTTCAATGGAACTAGGTCTGGTAGATCTGTGCAAATTTTTAGTTCTGAACTTGAAAGAAAAAGGAGAGGGGAAAAAGAAACAATGGAAATTTATGGTTTGATCAGTCTATAATAAACTTTTTAAAGCAGAACAGAACAAAACATGCCTTGGTTGAAAAAAGCATTTTGTTCACACAAAACTGTTACAATAAAACCAATTAAATGATGAACTGGGTTCCTTAAATTGATTATAGTAATTATATCAGTGTTTTCTTTTAGTCTGTAGCCCGACAGACTCAGCATTTTCCTGTGACATGGTGCATGTGGCTGAACCCTACTTGCTGCAATGACTAGTCTATGGAGCAAAGATAGGAAGTCAGCATCTTGCCCTCTGCTTCCATTGCTTTAATATAAGCTCCTAAAAATGTTAAAAGTTTGTGGTAATGTTTTCATTTCAGTCAAAATGGTTTGATGAATTTGATTGAATTCTGGAATTACTTCAGCCACCCTGAAACAGAATTTTTCAGCTAATAAATTTGCCTGGATGCCCTTCAGTGGGACAGCCTGGCCTTAACTTTATGATTGCATTCATGACTATTTCAAACAAACAGAGATGCATGGAAAGCATTAAAGACAAAATATCACTAGGCTTTTATTTAGTAAAGGTAACTGGCAGCAGCTGCTGTGACTCAATGAATCAGAAATAGTTATAGATAATGGATGGTAAGACAAAGACAATGCAATTTTTTTTCACATGAGAGCGGCTGATCGTGTGACAAGATTTTATTATAACAACTGTACTTTTGTTTTTCCAAATGATTGATGCATGCAGTAGTCTGCATAATCTTCTTTGATGATGAATGTTGGTGCCATGAAGCAAGCGTTACTCACTGTGCTATTATTGAACATGAATTTTGAATGACTTGCGGCAGAGAGCTGCCGGGTACTTAAATCAATGAAATAAAAGTCAGGAAGAGCCAAAGATAATGTTCCTCCTGCAATATTAACTCCTGTGCCTTGTGTACAAACAATGTTTCTTGTAACTAGTTAAGGGGTCACATCTCTGGACTCCCCATGCATGGGATGAAGGAAGGAGGAGGCATATGAACCAATGCTTACTGTTTGGACATGAAAGTTGTTTTGGTTTTTTTTTTTCTCTTCCTTCCCTCCTGATTGTCAAGAAAAACTGGGAATGAGTAGGAGGGATCAATGGTTTGGCTCTAGGGAGGAGGTGAATTCATCTTCCACATGTGCTGCCCAAGGCTGGAATCAACCTGAAAGGTGGGGGAGCACCTTTCCTAGCTCTGCTCATCAAACACAAGGTGTTACTGCTTGCCCTTGGTGATGCAGTTACACAGAAGAGAGGTATGGGAGCACGGAGCCATATTTCTTCTTCCATGGGGCTGAGGCTGCTCCATGGATTCCCCAAGCTGGGTTCCAGGATTGGAGGGAAATGTACTGGCATAGTTGAATGCTCTCCACCTAGCTTACAGAGACGGGAGGAGTTGTGTTCAGTGTATTTGTACATCACTGACCTTCCCATCTCCACTCTCACATCAGCAATGAAGTATTGTGCAATACTTTTGTTTTTCGACCGCTGACAAGCAGATGAGTTAATCCTCCCAGAGATGGAGGGCCCACTCTTGCTCAAGATTCTTTGTAAAGCTAAATGTGTAGCTGCGTGTCAGCAGTACCACTATCAGTAGGAGTGGCATTTATGTGACGTAGCCAGAGGAACAATATATATTTTTTATTCTTTTTGCTCCCCACAGCCTCACTGTTTATGTGGGGAAAGGGGGCAGGGAGGAAACTCAGCTGGAAAGGGCTGTTGGTGCGGTGCACACGCGCTGACGGACTGCTCCTCAGCTCTGCCATGAAATACAGCCCCATGGAGACTTGATTTCTCCTGAAAGCACTGATGACCCAGGGGCGTTGTGGTAGCAAGGGAACACAGATACTCACTTCACTTTAAGAACTTCATGCACATGTCTACTGTAGGAGGTTGGGTCCCTGCTATGGTAAGTAAAGTGAGAGCAGGCACCTATACTGGGCTTTAGCTCTGAATTACCTTGTGGAAAGGGTTATTTTTCTCCATGGACTGTAGAAAAAACTGAGGAAGAGTAGTCTCCTAGGTAGAAGAAAAATTTTAGGTGACATGACTACTCCTCTAGCTTTTCTTATCTTGAACAGGACAAATTAACAACTTGTGATTTCCACTACACTGTTAAATGTATATTTGACTGTTTATTTAACTGCTATTTAACAAGGATGAAGACATTCACAAAAATGTTTTAACATGACAAATCGTTATCCCATTGTGCTTTTAAAGGAATGATAATTTTCTTCTTCTAATTGTAAGCATGTATATTCTTGGATTTTTAAAAATATTTAGATTTTACTCTTTTACATTTTCTTCTCTTTTTTTTTTTTGCTAATTTTCCACAAAAAGTACAGTAAAGGAGAGGAAAAGACAAAAGAAAATTGCACAAATATATTAATTTTCTTTGACACAGGAGACATTTTCTGCAAAAATTTTTGTTTTCAGAAAGTCTATTGCCCAATAATAATAATAATAACCAGATGAAAATCATAGCATTTCCTAAACTCGTATACTATTTCTGCAATACTATTTCTAAATATACTCTAATAAAATTTTGCATATGTGTACACAAATCATCATAAATGGCTGACGTTTGTCAAAAGATACTACTCAAGAAGTTATTTCCTTTCTTATGGCTGGAATGAAATTGCCCACTCTTAGCTCCTGTGTTAATCCAAGTGTTTTCTGTTTTAACTTATTTCAGTATTAGTAGGGGATGTGCATAACTTGCTGACTTATTTGGGCCTGAATATAATGTGATGTTTGCCTGGCATCATTGTGACTGATCTTTGAAAAAAGATTGTTGTTGATTTCTTGTTTATGGCTTAAAAAACCTTGTAGACTTCCAAAAGTTTTCACCTGCCAATCATGTATGCTAGGTCTCATGCTGGATCCAGTTTTGAACTGGTGCTCACTCTCAAACCTACTTCTCTTTGTACTAATCAGATTTCTGTTTTAATTTTTCTCTAGATTGCGGTCTTTGGTAAAGCAGTTAGAGAGAGGGGAAGCTTCAGTTGTAGACCTAAAGAAGAATTTGGAATATGCTGCGACTGTTCTTGAGTCAGTATACATTGATGAAACTAGGTGAGTTAACTACAGACATCAGCACTCTTCTTATACCTAGTACCAATGACACAAAATTGTAAATTACACGTCATCTGAAAAAGTTGTTTTAGCCAAGATTTATTACTCTCAAACAATATGTGTTTAATCATTAGAATATTGTATTCTGCGTAAAGCAGATCTTCAATCCTTGGTCTTAAAATCTTTAAGTTTCCTAGGGTAGGGGAGGAGATCAAAAGCAATCATAAATTTAATATATATTCTCTTGGAGAAATGTTTTCTTAATAATTGTGTCCCACTTTTTCTGAAAGTTTATTAATTCCTACTCCTCTATTCCTTTTGAATAGTATTAAATCTTTTAATTTGTATCGAGTCTTTGAAATTAAAAATAATTTTACTCCAGGTCATGACAGAGGTCGACTGGGAAGACATTACAGAGGAGTTCCCCTCTCTGTTATATGCCATTTTCCTACTGCTAAATATGCTTGTAGAGTCACCTCAGATGACCAGGATGGGAAAGGAGAGGGCTGTACGATACTAACTGGGAAGTTAGACATGTAAATGAGCTCTGAAGGGCAGAAAGGTCAGGAATATTGGTGAGCTGAATATGAGAAGTCAGTGGATGATTATATAGTTGTGCTTCAGAAGGCTGATACTTCTTGTTTGTCAGCCTAGTACTGAGTTTCACAGTCTGATGTTTAACTATACAAGAGAATAAACAATCTGTTGAAGACTTGTGAAGAATGGAAGTTGTGTTCCATTAGGGCTGATGAACCAAAGACTTTTAACAACTGCTTTAATTAGAATATGTGTGAGTTTCTTTTTTGTTAATAATGTTGCAATGCTCTCCAAAGGAGTCTGTTTAGCCATCTTTTTCCTCCCCTTTCTAGGCGTTTACTGGACACAGAAGATGAGCTCAGTGACATCCAGTCCGACTCTGTGCCCTCAGAGGTCCGGGACTGGTTGGCTTCTACCTTCACACGGCAAATGGGGATGATGCTCAAAAGGACAGAGGAAAAACCCCGGTTCAGGAGTATTGTCCATGCAGTACAAGCTGGGATATTTGTGGAAAGGTAAAGGTGCATGTAATTACTTTGTTCTAGTAGCTGCAGATTGCACCTGTAGTATTGAATGAAGAATGCTTTAATATGCTTCTAATGATGTTTCCACACAGATCTGGATAGCACCCTGAAACCTGGGATTAAGTAATAGGTTGCAACCTGAAACAGCGCATACTGATCTGTTCTTAACATAATACAGATGTAATAGCACAGTTGGAATAATTTTGACAGAGAATATGCACCTCTGCATAGCCCTAGGTCAAGAGTGACAGCTTTTAAAATTCAGTCAGTCCAGACCAAGTCCTCCCTTGCCTCTTTTTACCTCTGTGGTCTAGTATTTCTTATGAAGAACTGTTAAGAAACAGAAGAAAATCCCGCATCATAGAATTACTGGAATGAACTATAGATCAAGACTGATGTGAAAACTTTGTAGCTCAGGATTTCAAACAACCCACTGAATCCTCTCAGCCTTCTCTGTTGTGATTTGCATCAGAACCTACTACTAAAACTTATTTCACTTTTTGAACACTTTAAAACATTTAGTCATTTCAATTTGGACTCACTTCCTATCTTACCTTTTCTTATTGAGTAACCACTCTTCTCTGACATTCTTCCTTCAAGCTAGAAGGAGGGCTGGTGTATGCAAAACGGTCAGCAGACTTCAGGCAGCATGAAAGGCAGCAGGTCCCAGGTCTCTACAGGAAAACTCAGGTCAGGAATGGAAGAGCAGAACACCTTTCACTGTTCATCAGAGTTGCAGTGAGAGCCTACCAGCCATCTGTGCAGGAGGTTGGGCATATCAGACAGCGGACCACAAGCCACACAGACACACAGAAGCCTCCTCTGGCATGTCTATAGCTGTTTTTTTTTGTCTGTGTACCAAAGTTACTGTACGTGTGTTAACAGTGGCAGCAAACTGTGATAGACTAAACCTGTTATTTCTCCTTGGAACAGGTTTCTCCCAGGTTTGACAGGCTTTTTGTGAATTAACATACACTCTCAGTGGGGGACTTGCTCAACAGGGAAGTAAATGAACTGCAGAGAGCTGGCTGCAGGAGGCTGTTTTCCAGCTGATCTGAATCACTGTGGACCAAAGGAGGAAGTGCTCAGATACAATATGGCACCCGAGGAGGGTTGTGGCTCTCCTGAGCTAAGGGAGAGGGACTCTGCCTGAATTTTCACTTAAGAGAAGGCTACGGGGCTCCTGACTGGGGGGAGGAGGGGTAAGAAATTCTGTAAATAGGGGAATGGGTGAATTTTCCAAAGGGGGTCGACTTTTTTCAGATCTGAGTGCAGAACATGACAAAGAAAAAGGGAAGTGAAGGAAGACTTCACACAGGATCATTTCAGATGGGAGACGAGAGCGTGCAATCATCTCTTTTTAGTCCTATGTTGCTTAAGTGCAAAAAAGGGTGACCTGTGGAAAGGCATTTTAGCTATGACAGTGCTTCTGCATTCACCAAGCCTGTTAAGCACAGTGTGGCCTGAAAACAAGTTTAAAATCTGGTACATACTTCAGTGCTTTGTTTAGTATGGTTGCAGATGTTGATTATTACCTTATTCTTTCTCTCTGTCCCTCAAACACACACACAGAGCGAACACCCAAAAGACTTTATACCAATCTTAAACAAATGCATACAAAAGTAACAGCTGTGCTGAACTGGAGTTGATTCATGCAGACAACAAATGATTTCTGAAGTACATTCAGAATTAGCTGGCATGTGGACCAGCAAGGACCA